ACAGTCTTACAAACACACTCAGTCTGAAAGACACACTACAGTCTTACAAGACACACTACAGTCTTACAAGACACACTACAGTCTTACAAGACACACTGCAGTCTTACAAGACACACTACAGTCTTACAAGACACACTACAGTCTTACAAGACACACTAGAGTCTTTCAAGGCACACTGTAATTCAAGACACACTGTAGTCTTACAAGACACACTACAGTCTTACAAGACACACTTCAGTCTTACAAGACACACTACAGTCTTACAAGACACACTATAGTCTTACAAGACACACTGCAGTCTTACAAGACACACTACAGTCTTGCAAGACACACTACAGTCTTACAAGACATACTACAGTCTTACAAGACACACTACAGTCTTACAAGACACACTACAGTCTCACAAGACACACTACAGTCTTACAAGACACACTACAGTCTTACAAGACACACTACAGTCTTACAAGACACACTACAGTCTTACAAGACACACTAGAGTTTTACAAGACACACTACAGTCTTACAAGACACATTACAGTCTTTCAAGACACACTGTAGTTCAAGACACACTGTAGTCTTACAATACACACTACAGTCTTACAAGACACACTTCAGTCTTACAAGACACACTACAGTCTTACAAGACACACTACAGTCTTACAAGACACACTGCAGTCTTACAAGACACACTACAGTCTTGCAAGACACACTACAGTCTTACAAGACACACTACAGTCTTACAAAACACACTACAATCTTACAAGACACACTACAGTCTCACAAGACATACTACAGTCTTACAAGACACACTACAGTCTTACAAGACACACTTCAGTCTTACAAGACACACTACAGTCTTACAAGACACACTACAGTCTTACAAGACACACTAGAGTCTTACAAGACACACTAGAGTTTTACAAGACACACTACAGTCTTACAAGACACACTACAGTCTTACAAGACACACTACAGTCTTACAAGACACACTACAGTCTTACAAGACACACTAGAGTTTTACAAGACACACTACAGTCTTACAAGACACACTACAGTCTTACAAGACACACTACAGTCTTACAAGACACACTACAGTCTTACAAGACACTACAGTCTTACAAGTCACACTACAGTCTTACAAGACACACTACAGTCTTACAAGACACACTACAGTCTTACAAGAGATACTACAGTCTTACAAGACGCACTACAGTCTTACAAGACATACTACAGTCTTACAAGACACACTACAGTCTTACAAGATAGACTACAGTCTTACAAGACACACTACAGTCTTACAAGACACACTACAGTCTTACAAGACGTACTACAGTCTTACAAGACATACTACAGTCTTGCAAGACACACTACAGTCTTACAAGAAATACTACAGTCTTACAAGACACACGTCAGTCCTACAAGACACACTACAGTCTTACAAGACACACTACAGTCTTACAAGACACACTACAGTCTTACAAGAAATACTACAGTCTTACAAGACACATGTCAGTCTTACAAGACACACTACAGTCTTACAAGACACACTACAGTCTTACAAGACACACTACAGTCTTACAAGACACACTACAGTCTTACAAGACATACTACAGTCTTACAAGACATACTACAGTCTTACAAGACACACTACAGTCTTACAAGACACACTACAGTCTTTCAAGACACACTGTAATCTTACAAGACACACTGCAGTCTTACAAGACACACTACAGTCTTACAAGACACACTACAGTCTTACAAGACACACTACAGTCTTTCAAGACACACTGTAGTTCAAGACACACTGTAGTCTTACAAGACACACTACAGTCTTACAAGACACACTACAGTCTTACAAGACACACTACAGTCTTACAAGAAACACTATAGTCTTACAAGACATGTGGGGGGCGCGGGGGGGCTCGTGGGGGCGCGGGGGGGGGTCGTGGGCGGGGGGTCCTGGCGGGTCGTGGGCGGGGTCGTGGGCGGGGGTCGTGAGCGGGGGTCGTGGGCGGGGGTCGTGGGCGGGGTCGTGGGTGGGGGGTCGTGGGCGGGGTTAAGGTCATTAGCACATAGGTGTGAAAAAGGTCATTAGCACATAGGTGTAAAAAAGGGACTGCTCAGCCGCAAGGGACTGCTCAGCCGCACCCCTTTCAGGAGGAGACCGCTCAGCCGCAGGACCGCTCAGGCGCCTTCAGCACTACTTAAATATATATATATATATAAAATATATATATATATATATATATATATATATATATATATATATATATAATATATATATATATATATATATATATATATATATATATATGCAAAACAACCACTCTGAAAGAATAGAGAAATTCCAAGCGCTTTCGTGACTACTCACATTATCAAGGAACTATGTGAGTAGTCACGAAAGCGCTTGAATTTCTCTATTCTTTCAGAGTGGTTGTTTTGCATATTCTGAAATCACCTGTTACTGTGATCTTATTGCATATATATATATATTATATATATATATATATATATATATATATATATATATATATATATATATATATATATATTATATATATATATATATATATATATATATATATATATATACATATATATATATATATATATATAAAGGTAGGAAATATAATTTACTACCAATCGTGCTAATGGTAAAATTCTGATGAAGCTGCCAAATTTTGGATTTAGTCAATATCCGAGATCGTAAGCAAGAAAAATCAAATATCTGATACGAAGGGTCAAGAATGTGGATACTGAATATAAATACACATAAGTAACAGCCTGGTATTTCGGGTAGCAAGCGGTCTTGCTGACAAACAATGAGTATTTTCTTGTTTATCGCCTTTAATTGCCTCCAGCAGTCATACTACAAGCAAGACGTTTAAATTTACTCATTTATAAATTCCTGACTCCACAAGAAAAATAATTATGAAACAAGTTATATTACTAGGCATAGATTATTTAGATAAGGAGAAAATCCAAAGAGCTATAGATCACGTGGCTTCGTGGGAAATTTTCGATGTATCAAAGTACAACTGCCGACAACAGTGAAAATTTACGATTGTAGTTGTGGATATTACACAACAACGGTGCTCAACAACAGCAAATCTAGTCCAATTGAGTTAGGTTTAATGCTGGCAAATCTGTTCCAGTTCGGGAATATCAACTGGTGGATTGATGGATTTAAGTGATGTTTCAGCAGTCAATCATCGTCCACCCACTGGAGGTGTCAAGTCATGGCTCCGTTACTCTATTTAACAAGCTTTCACACGTAATTTGTCAATGTACTGGTTCTTAACCCGTAAAACCCTTCTCCTAAAGTTTCTAATCACCTTGTAGTGCTTGTGGATCGTTGGTGTGCGTTGTCGCCACTAATAGTACTGTACACAACTGCTCGGTGCTAGACTCTTGCCTCTCGTTCAGGAAGATGCCACTTACTTAAGGATTACTGTGCTAAGTCTTTTAAATTTTAATTATACATAATATTAAGGCAGTTATATACAAGCTTTACTGAACAGTTATGACGATCAAGGGCAATATTCTCTAGTTTTGACATAGGTGTTATAATAGTCCACCAATGGTAAAAGTTTGAAGCCAGTCAGAAAAAGCATTACCTAGTACTTCATCTTATTTCAACGATTTCGAGATTTTTAACTACATATTTCAGTTAAATTTCAAATTTGAACCTATTCGGACTAAGCTTATGGGTTATCCACCCTCGTATTTTTGACACCTTTTTTTTTTTGAGGTTAGAAGGTTCGCCAGTGAGGATTTTGGAAGTTATCCTAGCCATTCCAGGATTAAAGAGTTAAAAATTAAAATTTAAATTATTTATTTCTAAAGAGTCATACAAATATAGAAGTTATACATTCGATATTATTAAATATTGAGTTTAATCACATTATAATACAGATACAGTTATGCAAATGTATTCCGGTCTAACTAATAAGGCCTAATATTTAATGCTAGATCTGGAATATAATTTAAGTTAGTATAGCTTAAGTTATACATAACAATACATACTCTTGTGAGTTTAGGGTTTAGTTATGATTATAGTAATTATTATAATAAGAAAGAAGAGCTAAACCTACAAGGGTCATACAGCCCATGATTATAATAATAAATTTACTTGGCACATTTCAATATGATGGACAGTGGATCTGCTAGTTCTTATCTGCTCTACTTTCTTGAACCTCAGCTGCTAGTTCTTATCTGCTCTACTTTCTTGAACCTCAGCTGCTAGTTCTTATCTGCTCTACTTTCTTGAACCTCAGCTGCTAGTTCTTATCTGCTCTACTTTCTTGAACCTCAGCTGCTAGTTCTTATCTGCTCTATTTCTTGAACCTCAGCTGCTAGTTCTTATCTGCTCTACTTTCTTGAACCTCAGCTGCTAGTTCTTATCTGCTCTACTTTCTTGAACCTCAGCTGCTAGTTCTTATCTGCTCTACTTTCTTGAACCTCAGCTGCTAGTTCTTATCTGCTCTACTTTCTTGAACCTCAGCTGCTAGTTCTTACCTGCTCTACTTTCTTGAACCTCAGCTGCTAGTTCTTATCTGCTCTACTTTCTTGAACCTCAGCTGCTAGTTCTTATCTGATCTACTTTCTTGAACCTCAGCTGCTAGTTCTTTTTTAACAATATTTTTCAAATTTGTTTGAGAAACCAAAATTATAATTATCTTTGTTTATTACTAGTTTAGCCAATGGCTCGACTTGACTGTACTCCTGGACCCGGTGTCAAATGTGAGAGATAAACCACAAAAATCTAACTTTAATCTTTTTGTCAATAATTTGTCTGACCTCATACACGAACATGCTACATTCAGACTTTAGGCTATTTATACAGAAAGTAAAGAGAACAGAAAGTCATAAATACTCGAAAGTCTTTAGTTTCGTATATGTAAGCCCAGTTATGACTGTACTATTAAGTTTATTTAGGCACGGGTTCACATAAGTAAAGTTATTATACATAGTGTAAATTACCTAGGATAACCCTAAAAAAAAGACAAAGTGGCTATTTCCACTGGGGGCCTTTTAGTATCTTATTATTTAAACCTTTAAAATTAAAACAGGTAAGTAACTCACTGTGTGAAAATCAGTTACAGTAAAAGGAGATATACTAGGAATAAGGTAAACTGAGTTATTTACATTAACATTAAAGAGAGAGAATCAGCTTACAATAATAGGTACTAATGACTTTAAATTACATCTGCATATGTTCTAACTCTTTTATAAGTTCAGGCTTTATTGCTTCATCACACCATTTGTGATTCTTCACTTGTCCCTTTACCAGAGCTTCATGGGATGGAGTGTGTTGGCAGCGCTTGTTGTTGAGTGTGTTGCTGGTTCTTCCTGAGTGTGTGTACAGACCAGCTGGTCTAAATGGGGGTTGTCCTTTCCCAGCAGTAGACGGTACTGACGTGTGGGAAGTGACATCAAAAACTCCCTCTCCTGCAGTGTTAGCAACAGAGTTAATAATGCTGGAGACATAATAATAATAAGTGTTTCAATCACTGCATGATCCAAGGAATGTATCCCCGTATCCCATAACCTCATCCTTCTGTACTTTAATGCACATATGAGACAGTAGGTGTATCTCAAAATCCTCAGGAGGCACAGGAGCTGCAGTTTAACTCCCTTAAGAAACTCTAGGTGTTATACTTCAGCCCTTCCCCGAACCAGGGGTTCAGGAGCTGGATTTCAATGCCTTCAAGAGGCCTAGGAACTTGACGAGGGTCTCTAAACGGCTTAGCATTGTAGCTTAAGAACCTCAGAAGGTCCAGAAGCTGCTGATCAACACATTCAAGCGGTCAAGGAGCTGAAATTCAACAGTCAAACAATATGAAAATACACTGAGACCAGTCAAAAGAAATTAATTTAGCAATGTCAGAAGAGTTTGCGCTGCTGTTACGAACATTGAAAGACAGGAAACAAAAATGGTTATCAGGTGTTGGTGTTACTCTCATATTAGAGAAAATAATACATATACTGATTTTAATGAAACTCCTGGCAGGGGTTCTCTAAGACAAGGAACCGTGCAAGAACATAACTCTTTATTTAATAAAACTGACAATTTGAGTGACAACCTAATAACATTGCAAACCTTCCTTTAAGCAAAATCCACCAGCAGTGAAAGTTTGGCACTGATGAGTAGTGAAAGCCTACACTTATATCACTAAAATCCAATAATCCCCTCCCCTTTCTTTTAATTAATAATACTTTAAAATTGGCAAATATGTCCCAACACAGCATAAAGTCTGAGGCTATTCAGACGACCCCACTGTTAGGCTTATATCTAGGATATTCTTATTTCACGTATACAGATTTCTATAATCATTGCCATCATGCCAACAGGTAGTAAGATGGATATATATACATGGCGCAAAGCCGACATTCAGTACAGTCAGTACACAAGACTGGATAACAAGTACAAGTACTACTACTATTTTTGTTACTACTGCTACTGCTACTTATAATACTACGACTACTACTAGTCTACACACATTTTGTGTTGATTTAAATCACACATTTTAATCAAATAAACTGTTTTTTAATGTATGCTAGCATCATGTGGAGACCAGATCAAATTGTTCAGAGGACGGCTGCAGAGCAAAGCTCTCCATAAACAAAAATATATATTGACCATACTGAAACATAAAAGTCTTCTCAGTAATTTAGGTGCTTGGCTGGGTTTATACGAGCTGTGAGGATTATCTGTGCATTTTCCAGTTCGGCAATGTCGCCTACCTTGAAAGAGACAGATGAAATTGCTGAGTTAGAAAATGTACAGAGAACTTTCACAGCTCGCATAAACTCAGTCAAGAACATAAATTACTGGGAGTGCTTGAAGTCCCTAGGACTGTACTCCTTAGGACGGAGGCGAGAGAATATAGTCCACACCTGGAAGATACTGGAGGGACTGGTCCCAAACCTGCACACTGAAATTACTACTTATGAACAAAAAAGGCTTATAAGACGGTGCAGGATAAATCATGTTAAGCAGAATTCAATAAGTATTAAGGGACCACGACTCTTCAACGCCCTCCCCTCATACATAAGATAGATTACCAACAAACTCCTAGCTATTTTCAAGAGAGAACTCGACAGATTCCTCAAAATAGTTTCTGATCAGCCGGGTTGTAGTGCATGTATACGTTGAACTGTGGGTGGTAGGCACTAATAGCTTGATCGTTCAGGTTAGCAACCTGAATGGGACCGGGCCGCGGGGAAGGTAACCTCTGGAAGCGAATGCAGGTAAAAAAAGGCCTTGCCAACACTCACCTGATGTCTGGTGTCGTTCTGCATGAAAGGGGAAGGAGACAGGACCAGGTGCTGCAGGTGAGCTTCTCTGGTAGGTTCCCAGATGAAACCCAAGGAGGAGTCTGGCGTTGGGTTCCTGAACCCAAAACGAAATGTAATTCGGGTTTAAATGATATTATTATTATTATTATTATTATTATTATTATTATTATTATTATTATTATTATTATTATTATTATTATTATTATGCAGTACTTTATAGCAATAACAATGTAAATAAACTTTATAAATGTAAAAAAATAATTCTGTTTTCAAGAGAGAGCGCACTAACACAGTACCCAGTATCGGCAAAGTTGGTCCAGAGCTTAGTGAAGAGGTCCCTGAGGGCGAGGTCGGCAGGGCGAGTGAGCTCAAACTCTTCTGAGTTGAAGAGGTAGATTAGGTCGTCTGAATGAGTCACCCCTGTAAACAATGAAATGAGTGGAAGAGGTAACAAGGTAGAGAATACGGAGAGGATAGTTTTTTTTTTTATTCCACCTCAACAGAACACATGACCATAACACAAGGCACAGATCACTCTTTGATGTTCCTCGTGTCCATCTCACACTATGCAAAAACTCAATGCACATAAAAGGCCCTAAAATCTGGAATTCATTACCTGTAAATATAAAAGAAACACTACCTGTTTATAAATTCAAGTCTCTTCTCAAAGATCACTTACTCACCCAAAACCAAATAAATACTGAATAACTGAACCTTATAAATTGTATATCTTAAATGTTTCTCACAATTATATCACATAAATGTTAAACCTAAAACCGAATCTAACTTTATTATTTTTTAAATACACTACCTAACAGAATCCTTCATATGACTGAATGCAACCATATGACCTGTCTTTGTAATACTCACTTGTGCTTTATAGTAATCTGTTTACATTAATGTTTTATCACTGATTTCATCATTGCTTAGTTAATCTTAAGTTAATTTTAAGCCAGCCCGTAATGCTATGCATAGTATAAGTGGCTTTGGCATGCTGCTCTTATCTGTATTTTTTTGTACCTCTGTATGTGTGCTCAAATTGGAAATAAATAAATAAATAAATAAATAAATTCAATTTTTTAGGGGTAAAAATCAGACTGTTTCCGCTGACTCAAGCTCACAGACGCGTTCGTGGTAAAGCTCTTAGCTCTCTATGCGGCAGGCGTATGAAAGGGAGAAGGACGGACAGTGGAAAATATTGATATAAGGATGGAGAGAAGGAATGTAGACAAAAAAAATATTGAGACATCAGAGTATGAAAGACAACCATGATCCATGGGACAAACTAATATGTGTAATATTACTATTGTCCTCATCCTGTTTAAAACTGTTTTCTGTTAGTGGTCCTGAGGATTATCTACTCAACGGCCCGGTCTCGGACCAGGCCTTAACCAAGCGTTATAAATTAACCAGGCTGTAATGGTCATATAGGCCTCTCGGTTGCTGGCAGCAACAGCCTAGTTGATCAGATACGCGACAAAGAGATATGGCCTTAAAACAAAAGGGTTCTCAAAATCCACCACACGTATGCTGGAAACAGTGACACTAAATGATCAAAACTATTAGTCTATGCAAAATAGTTATAACTTTGGTAATAGACACCAACAAAACTGGTTTAAAAAAGACACATATGCAACAGTTAGGTATCTTTATTTCGAAATAAAGATACCTAACTGTTGCATATGTGTCTTACCTAACAACCTGTCGGTATTTTATACCATTTTAATGTTCAAAAAAGACACGTAATGAAACACTACGACATATTTATTAGAAAACGTTTTGATCCTGAATGGTACCGCTGAACGGTACCACTGACTGGTATCTCTGAATGGTACCGCTGAACGGTACCACTGACTGGCATCTCTGAATGGTACCGCTGAACGGTACCACTGACTGGTATCTTTGAATGGTACTGCTGAACGGTACCACTGACTGGTATCACTGAATGGTACCGCTGAACGGTACCACTGACTGGTATCACTGAATGGTACCGCTGAACGGTACCACTGACTGGTATCTCTGAATGGTACCGCTGAACGGTACCACTGACTGGTATCTCTGAATGGTACCGCTGAACGGTACCACTGACTGGTATCATTGAATGGTACCGCTGAACGGTACCACTGACTGGTATCACTGAATGGTACCGCTGAACGGTACCACTGACTGGTATCATTGAATAGTACCGCTGAACGGTACCACTGACTGGTATCACTGAATGGTACCGCTGAACGGTACCACTGAATGGCTCGTCTTGACAGACCCACGACGGGGATTTTCCTGGCGAGTAAATTAAAAACGCTACTGACCTTAGTGTTGTGGATATATATATCTTACACTGAACACTTCAGATGCTATGCCGAGACAGTGACGCAGCGCTCTTTCTCCTAGGATAATTAGGCTTCAAGACTAATTGTCCTGAGGCTGGGCATAATCAGGCTTCAAACCTAATTATACCCAACCCCCTCCCATTCTCTTTGAGGTCTAGCGCATCCTTGTGAATATAATAATGTTAATATCTAAAGTAAAACACGCTAGAGTAGTCGAGACTTACAGTGTTTTCCGAAGGTTAAGTTATGCCTATCAGTGAAGGAACGCTCTCCTCGATACTGGAGTTCAAAGGTGTATGTTTTGGGCTGGTGGCTGGGCTGGTGGTTGAACTGGTGGCTGGGCTGGTGGCTGGTCTGGTGGCTGGCCTGGTGGTTGGCCTGGTGGCTGGCCTGGTGGCTGGTCTGGTGGCTGGTCTGGTGGCTGGCCTGGTGGTTGGCCTGGTGGTTGGCCTGGTGGCTGGCCTGGTGGCTGGGCTGGTGGCTGGTCTGGTGGCTGGCCTGGTGGTTGGCCTGGTGGCTGGCCTGGTGGTTGGCCTGGTGGCTGGCCTGGTGGCAGGGCTGGTGGCTGGGCTGGTGGTTGGACTGGTAGCTGGGCTGGTGGCTGGTCTGGTGGCTGGGCTGGTGACTGGTCTGGTGGCAGGGCTGGTGGTTGGGCTGGTGGCTAGAGGTATGTGCTAGAGGATCAATAGAGTTTCGAGAGTGAAGTATGGCGGTCAGGTCGTGACAAACAGCAAAGTGTCGGTCAGTAAACATCTGTTGTAGACAGAAATGGGTAACTTTACTATTATTATTAATAGTTTTAATGCTACTATTACGCATATTTTTTGCACGGACAACTTTATTTTTGTTTTATAAAGAGAAGAGTAAGACTTTATGGCCCACCCAGCAGGTTAGTAGCCCAGGATAGCCCAAGAAACCCAGTATGGTCTGACAGAGACCCATTGTGACCTCTATAATCCTGCTTTTCAGCGCTACCTCTCAGAAAGAGGTACACAATCAACTAGCCACTTAACCCACGGGCCCTTACTCAGACAGGATGGGACTTACACAGATGACAACAAGGAAATGAGTGAAATATTGAAATCCCAGTACGACTCTGTGTTTAGTGAACCACTAATCGGTCTGAGGATCGACGACCCAAATGATTTCTTCATGAATGAGCCTCAAAACTCCATAAATGTATGCCAGATTTCCGACATTACCCTAACTCCGATAGATTTCGAAAAAGCCATTGACAACATGCCTATGCACTCAGCCCCGGGCCCAGACTCGTGGAACTCTGTTTTCATTAAGAACTGCAAGAAACCCCTCTCGCGTGCCCTAAGTACACTATGGAGGAGGAGCTTGGACATGGGTGAAATTCCACAGTCACTTAAAACAACGGATATAGCCCCACTCCATAAAGGTGGCAGCAAAGCATTAGCTAAGAACTATAGACCAATAGCTCTGACGTCCCACATCATAAAAATCTTTGAAAGAGTGCTAAGAAGCAGGATTGCAAATCACCTGGATTCCCAAAATCTGCACAATCCAGGGCAACATGGGTTCAGGGCAGGTCGCTCCTGCCTCTCACAACTACTGGATCTCTATGACATGGCCTTGGATGCACTGGAAGAAAATCAGAATGCAGATGTAATATACAGACTTTGCAAAAGCATTTGACAAATGCGATCATGGCGTAATAGCCCATAAAATACGTGCTAAAGGAATAACTGGGAAAGTGGGGAGATGGATCTTCAACTTCCTAACAAATCGAACACAAAGAGTAGTGGTCAACAGAGTTAAATCGGAGGCTGCCATAGTGAAGAGCCCTGTTCCACAAGGCACAGTACTCGCCCCCATCTTATTCCTTATCCTCATATCAGACATAAACAGAGATATACACCACAGCACCGTATCATCCTTTGCGGATGATACTAGGATCTGCATGAGGCTGTCATCTGCTGAGGACGCGGTTAACCTCCAAGAAGATATAAACAAAGTTTTCCAGTGGTCAACGGTAAACAATATGATGTTCAATGAGGACAAATTCCAACTACTCCGTTATGGAAAACTGGAGGAGATAATAACTAGAACAGAGTATACTACTGACTCCGGCCATACAATAGAGCGGAAAAATAATGTAAGGGACCTGGGAGTAGTAATGTCTGAGGATCTCACTTTCAAGGATCACAACAGTGATCACAACACCTCTCCTGCCAACGGTTTATAAGCTCCTTCTCAGCACGTATGCCGTATTCTATTCAAGATTGATGGACTGACCACATCGACTCAAGGTTGAGGGACTGATTACCTCATTCTCCTCCTGTTCTTCAAGATTCTCCTTTGTATGGACTGATGAAGCCACTGTGTGGCGAAACGTTTCCTCAATAAAGATACCCAAGAGTTGCACATGTGTCTAATTTATCAACATGTCGGTTCTCTGAACCATTCATCTACAAACTCAGCCAAAAGCACGAGGATAAATACTGGAGCCAGAGGAGAGGTGCAGCGTTTGCAGACATTGTCATAGGTGGGCGGGACCCACTAATGAAAGCAGGTAGGGCCCTTAAGTTTGCAACAGAGTTGCAGATATCCGCTGTACCAAGACTGCATGTGCCGCTGTGTCAGGTGAGTATACAACGCCGGCAAGTTGTTGAATAAGACACACAAGTGGAACACCTGGGTGTCTTCATTTACACCTTACAGAGAATAATATCTTCCGCAGCTCCACTGAGAACCTCTGGTTCACCTTATTGAAATAACCTACTTCCACTAATGGATCCCCTCCCACCTGGGACACTCTCTTCAACTACTGCGCCTCTCTTCTGACTCTAATATATACGTCTTCATCTTATGTCTACTTTAGATACATCAAGACTAAAGGACTGAATACCATGTGTCAAAGTTAAGGGATTGAGCACAATGTATCAAGGCTAAGAGACCGAGCATCACGTATGAAGACTAAGGGACTAAGTACTATGTATCAAGGCTAAGGGACTGAGTACCAAGTATCAAAGCTAAAAAACCGAACACCACTTCTTCCACTGTCTCAAGTATAAAAGTAGCTTCTGTATTAGATTGCAAAAAAAAACTGTGCAGGTGAAATGGCTCATCACTTAAGATACCCAGCTGCTGAACATGTAATTTTTCACCAACTTTTCGGTACTGTATACCAGTGATGTAGTGAAACAACATTCATAACAAAAACCACAACAACAGGATAATAGCAAAAATCAACAGCCACACACGACAACAACAAAAATCAACAGCACAACAAGAGTTCTCACCTTCATGACATCATCAGGGTCGGCCTGGTCCAGGTTCATACCTCCCAGGTAGCGGTCAAAGATTCTCAGGGTCAGCAGGAGTGGGTTCACGTCGGTACATTTGAAGCTCATAGCCACTGGGCCCAGTACGGAGAACCTCTCCTGCAGGGACTTGCGCACTTCCTCTCGGTCATACATACCTGCATTACCCACAGAAGTGTGGGCGTAAAGAAAAAATTAGCCTAAATCAGACTGGTCAGCGATCGGACCGGTTTAGGGGTCGGAGGGTCGAGCCTCCACCACTTCTTGAGCTGCGTGTCTAAGACGAGTTTTGTGCTTCATGAAACACAATGCAGTGACGAATGTTGTGTGTCTATTACACCGACTTTCACTGGCTAGTAACCAACAACAGCCTGCCTGACATGTCAGATTCCTGACTTGCCAAGAATCTGACGTTCAACAAAGCTGCCTCATACTTCGACAGTGGCAGAGTACAACCATAGCGTTTAGCTATACATTTGCTAATATTATGTGTAAAATAGTGTGAAATTTTATTCCCATTAAATTACGTTAAATATGTTTGAGTCTGCCTTTTCTGAGTAACTTAATGGCTGATACGTCTTATGGATAGGATAGTACCTATAAAGTTTAATTTGTATGCGGGCAAATTAGTCAACATAATAAATTAGTTAAAAATACGTGCTATGCCTCTTCTGGTAGACTTCAAATTTTCGCCCCGGATGAAAATTTATTAATATTATTAGGTTGCTTAAATCCCGATTTGGCATTTTTTAAAATAAAGTGATACTGATTTTCAAAAGAATACTTCATCGACACCATGCCCAGCCCTTCTAGGGTAGGGTAGGTGCCTGAGCCCGAGCTTTCAGCTCACAAGACTTTCATTCCCATTAGCCCCCTTGGGGCGGGGATGGCAGACCAGAGAGGCCTAGCTTCTCCCTACGAGCCCCGTGAGGGCGGGGAATGTGGCTAGGCCTGGGAACAGTTGGTCCCAAGGATGAGGGGGTACTTGTGCCTCCTCCCATGGGAGACTTAGGTCTCAGACACTCCTTAGAGAGGGAGCCAAGGCCTGGCCACCACTTGGAAAAGACCCGGGCCGGGAGAATACCGGCGAATCTTTAATAATAATAATAATAAAAGAATACTTCGTCTGGTTTCGGAATATTAACACTAATACTTTCGATAAGATGGATGACATCCTATAAGTTTAAGCTGTGAAGGTACATTATTCTAAATTTTATTGAAATTGTTAAAATATGTGGGTCGTAATCGTTTGATTCAGATCAATTACTGGAGAATTCCTTTTCTGATAGGCTTAAAAATTTCAAACGCAAAAAAATCTGAAAGTTTACTTCTCTTGGAGCGAGAATGGACTGTAGATTAAGCTTAATTACTGTATCTTCCATTTCCCAGGTGCTGTATGACACAGCATCAAAAACCAGATTTGGCTTTTGATTTTGTTATGTCATTCTCGTATTACCGTTAGGTCTCTTTCCTCATGCATGCATGTTCATTTCTGGTTCTTCGACTCAACTCCTTGTTTCCCCCCCCCCGAGTCCTTTGCCTTCTTTTCGTGTTTCTCTATAAATCAAATAATAAAAGCCTCTAATAATCCTGTACTCTTGTTAATGTCAGACCCACCCGGTCCACCAGCACACAATCTGTCGACAATGCCAACAGATATGAATAAAGCAATGTCACACAGAAGAGACGTACCGTTAACGAAAGAGCCTCCATCGTGGGACATGATCCCTGATATGATGTCTACTTTCTTGTGACGACCATCTCTTGCCAACACCTCTGGGTCATCAGGAAGGAAATCCCCGTCCACTCGCGGCCCCAACAGCAGCGGGAGGTAACGCCATTGCTACAGGACGCCACACAGTAAGAGAAGAATAGTATCACGTGGATAGTGACGCTAATAGTGAAACCAAGGTGAGATGGAGAAAAAGAGAGAGCAAGATATGAAAGGGTGAATAATATGGTGTGATTGAAGGACTCATTTTCTCCACAACCTTAAGACCAATACGACATACTGGATAAACTTATGAAAGAATTCAATATAGACATCAAAATACTCTACCATAGGTTGTGGCTGTTGCTGTTGATTCTAAACAACTGCGACGGCCACTCTCTCGGATGATGAGTTTTGCCTCTGAGAAATTTATAAGGTGGCTCTTGGTGGTTCTGTGTAGAGTGCATACATTTCTAATATCATCTTTTTGACATGTGTTTATATGTTTGTCGACTTTGGTATTTAAGTCTATGGAGGTTTCTCCTACATAAATGTTTTCACGTCCTCCACATTATAAACGTAAGCAATGTAGTTCATTGCCTTCCCTGTATTCTTGACTGAGTCTTTTATAGGTTTGATAATATATTAGTGACCACAATGTTAGCTTTATCTAAGGTACTGGAAAAATTTTTATTGTCTGGTTGACAAGAAGTGAACTTTATTTACTTTGGTATAATGTCAGAATTAGAGCTGTGAAGTACGGATTTTATCGGCTCTTTTCTTGCAGTCGAAAATTCGGTGTAGGTATACCAGGAAGGTATTCCAGGAATCAACGTCCCGCGGCCCGATACATGACCAGGCCTCACGGTGGATCAGGGCCTGATCAACTAGGTTGTTACTGCTGGCCGCAAGCAATCCAACGTACAAACCAAAGCCAGGCTAGTTAAATACTGACTTTAGGCATCTGTCCAGCTCCCTCTTGAAGACAGTAAGGAGTCTATTAGCAATAACCCTTAGTGTATGCTGGGAGGCAGTTGAACAGTCTTGGGCCCCTGACACTGTTATTTATCAGTATACTCAAAGCACCCCTGCTTTTCACTTGGGAGTGGGAGGGGGGGGGGGATGTTGCAACGCCTGCCGAGTCTTTTGCTTTCGTGGTGAATTATTTCCGTGTGCCGATTTGGGACTAGTCCCTCTAGGATTTTCCAGGTGTAAATTATAATGGTAGTGAAGGTCGGTGAAAAAATTAGTTTGTTATAATTTACATTTTTCGAGACTCGGGAATGGAGGAGATCCTATATGTGCTTAATCAAAAAGAATACATGTAGATGATGATCCCATGCTTGATTCTGTCGTTATGTAAATAATAATGCAAACGCTAATTTATATTTGTTTGTTTGTCGTAGTCTTTCAAATCAAGTTTATCGTCATTTTTTCGAATCAACACGTCCAGGAAGGAATATATCCACCATTTTCTTCATCAGCAGTAAACATGATAGATTCTACAGAAATGGTGTTGAGGACATTCTGGGTGTTCAGATGTGACTAGGATATTGTCAGTGACTAAGATATCGTCTATGACTAGGATATCGTCTATGACTAGGATATCGTCTCTGACTAGGATATCGTCTATGACTAGGATATGACTAGGATATCGTCTATGACTAGGATATGACTAGGATATCGTCTATGACTAGAATATGACTAGGATATCGTCTATGACTAGAATATGACTAGGATATCGTCTATGACTAGAATATGACTAGGATATCGTCTATGACTAGGATATCGTCTATGACTAGGATATCGTCTATGACTAGGATATCGTCTATGACTAGGATATCGTCTATAACTAGGATATCGTCAGTGACTAGGATATCGTTAGTGACTCCGATATCGTCAATGAAGGATATCGTCAGTGACTAAAATATCGTTAGTGACTAGGATATCGACATGCTGCATCTTTTGGTATGTGAATTTTTAATCTCTCTTCCTTCAGATGTTCCGTGTCTAGGTTAGCCATGACTGTACTAAGAGTGTGAACCTATGGTCAGTACCTTACCCGCAGTGTCTTGTTTACATATTATCGGTATATTCTAGCATTGCAGTACCATAGTTTGACCATCACTGAAAACTGTGGCCTGAATGAAGAGACAGAAAGTAAACTATTGAAAAAATTCAGTTTTTACACAGTAAATTCGTTTACTCACAAAGTACTTGGGCAGAGTCAAGATCAGCTCCTCCGCCCTGGCCTCCTGCAGACACTGCAACAACTCGTAGGAATCCCACTGATGACATCCTACCACAGCAGCAGTGTGGTAAGCAACATCTTTGTGAGCGTCTCCTAATGACCTTGGACATATAGCCGAGCCAGACTGAAGGATTGCTCGAGCGAACAGTCCTGTGGGAGGTGTGTGTGTGACTTAATTCATGTCTGCATAAATAACTCATTGCGAGTGTAACCAGTTATAAACATGTCAACAGTTCATAACCACTGTAACTTATTCAGCTATCAGAACTTTCTGGCCCAGTCCCTGGACCCATTATGTACCTCTAATTTTTTTACTATCGTCTCCCACGTAGGCAGGGTGACCCAAAAAGAAAGAAAATCCCCAAAGCGAAAATACTATCATCATCATTCAACACTTTCACCTCACTCATACATAATCACTGTTGTGCCCAGATACAAGTTTAGAAGCATATATAAAGATACAATATAAAAGAGTGACCTGAAATGAAAAAAAAAAGGATTACTGGTGTGGTTGTTACAACCTGGCCAGTGGAACTCGAAAAAAAAAAAAACACAAAAATATTTGATGTTATCAGGTTTTGTAAGTAACTAAGTTTATTAGGCACGGGTACACGTAAGTACAATTATCATAGTGTAAATTACCTAGAGTGTACCCCCCCCCCACACACAAAATCAGACACATTGACTTACTTCCATTGGAGTCCTTGTGGAAGGGGCAGGGTAATCTCTCCTATTTGTATTGACACAATTTTATTTACTCACAAACTGTGGAAAATTGCATTTATCTGAATGTATCATTATATACATAACAGTAAATGAACATAGATAATTATTATTTGTCTGTTAGACAAGTAGGAATTTGGGACACCTAGGTCGCAAAAAATGTCCCCCTTCGATACCTACCACTGTCATATCCACAAGTTGCTCTGGACCTATTAATTACCAATAAAAGATACATCACCAGGAATTCTGGTAAATATATAAATTTGTGGACTGTATATTAAAAATAATAAATGGTTATATATATACACAATTAAATAACAGAAGGAAAATATATCTTAATATCACTCACCAATTTGACTGGAGATTAATGTGTATCATACTCAGAAAACCTCACTCTAACTAAATCTATGAAAATAATGCTGGCCAGAATTACACACAAATCTAGAGAGCTTATCTGAGGTTCCTGGAGAGGTCTTGTCCAGTCGCCTGATATCTCAATTATGCAGGAATGCATATCCACCAATTTCGCCTCCTATTTGAGAGGTGTCAGCACAATTTTAACCTCTAGAGCACGAAAAATTCTTCCCCATTCACCAACGTTTCTAATACAAATTAAAAAACCAAGATGGCGAGTCTCTTCTTTTTTTCGATAACATACTTCTTTTAAAAATACAATATAGGGCATTTATTTACCTATAAATTACCGTATTTCCGGAAAATATATACAGTATTTTCCACAATCAGTATTTCAGAAGATGGTCCTAACTATCTCAGTCATAGAATCAAACAATTTCTGTCCCTCCAGCTGGTTTCATGAACGATGTCCATGAACACGACAATAAAACTAAATATACGGGAAGAACTTGGTATTACAAGTGTCGGAGTAGTATCATACAAAGAAATGCCCTCAGAGGTGTTAATATATTCAGACAAACCCACTGGTGCAAATGGTTGTTGTCATGAAGATCAATGATTTCTGTATAGAAATTAGTATATACCCCAACATTTGGGCTTTCGTTTTCCAAACTGATGTCCCTTGTTATACCACTTACACTCAAATGTGTCCTTGTATTTAAAGTCGACACCTTAATTGTGATATGGGTGTGTCAGAAGCCAGACTTATGTGCAGTTGAATTCTAGATAGAGGAGTCAGAATGCATTTTCTGTGGGTTCTCTCTCACATCGGCCCTCAGATGCATGATAGAAATAATGAGTTGACAAAGGCATATATGTCAGCTGTCAGCTTGAGGACAATGCGAAAAGAACTTCATCTGTTGTTGACCTGAGACTGAGGAAAACTGACATCAGTCAGTCCATTCTGTCAGGCGAGAGGAGCCACTTGTCCATAGCGCGTCCAGCGTTTGGATTTAACAACTGCCCGGTTTCAGCTGGGCAACAGGTACCTCTGGGAGTTTGCTCCACCAGCCGATGGTGCAACTTTGTAAGTGGAACTTTTGCTTCACACTGCATTATTATGCACTTGGGTGAAAAAAAATCTTAATGAGTGCAGAGAGAACTCACAAATGCCCAAGAAATATCAAAGCATTACCAGAAATTCTTGAAAAAAAATGCTCTAACTTTGCTAATTATAAATAAATCATACCCACTATAACTTCCCTAAATAAAACCATAACTTGCTAAATATTGGGTATTATAAATTAACCATTTATATGATGTGTTGTAATGTTTTCGCAATTGACCCAATCATGTGCCCCCAGGCTGGGTATGGGGTGCATAATAAAGCTACCACATTAACTCACCGTCAGTCTTGGGAGAGAGTATTTGAAAGTGGACACAGCCACCTCCAGCACTCTCCCCGAAGATAGTGATCTTCTCAGGGTCACCTCCAAACTGACGCACGTTGGTCTTAACCCAGCGGAGGGCCAGTGCCTGGTCCTTCAGCCCCTGGTTCCCAGGCATCACCTCGTCCTCGGTGGAGAGGAAGCCTGGAAAGAAACGAAAAAGTCACATTGATGATCTTAAAGGATGACACATAAGGATATAAAGATCGTTAAAAGTGTAAAGCCTATAGGATGCACAGCATTTTGTCACAATACCATAGCTGGAACACTTCACTATTAACTCATAATACACAGATACAACTTTAGATCATTATAAATCAAGACAATAATGATAATGGATCACAACAGAGAAATGTTATCTAAAATTTCTTCTTGAAATTATGGGTTAATATGAAATGCTTTCTCTATATATCAAGCTATAACATATCTTCTCTTATTTAATCTTAATTATCAAATCAAGAATGCTACTGCCAAGTAAGTAAATAAGTGACTTAAAATAATCTACATATGGTTTTACAAACTGAAGTTTAAAATTTTACAGTGGTTTTGAGGGCGCACGCATCTTAAGGCCACACATACATAGCACATTATATATTTTTTTCTCTAAAATAACCCAATAAAGCCAAACACTGTGCCAAGAGATTAGGACTCACCAAGAATGCCCAGTCTATACTGCAGAGTGACCAGGACGATGTCTTCGTTAAGCAGGACATGAGGAGGGTAGTGTGTGGTGCTGTCAGCGAAGTAGGCTCCACCGTGGATAAACACGAGTACTGGCAATCCCGCCTCTGTCCGGTTCGGCTGTCAAGAAATGAGGGTTAACGTGGGAGGGAGAGAGAAAGAGAAGAATCTAGAAGAGATACGAAGGTAGAAAAGAGAGAGACAGAAGGTACGAGAGAAACAAAGATGTGAAGGAGAGATGGAAGATGAGAGACAGAAGATGCCATGGAAATAAAAGAATATAAGGTCAGAAGGAGGGAGATGAAAAATAAGATAAAAGTAAGACTGGAGAGTGAGAAAGGATGGCAAAAAGAAATGGCAGGTAAGATGAGAAAATGTAATTTACACTCCGGAAAGGCGTAGAATTAGGGGGGATATGGCTAACGCGTACAGGTGGCTGACACGTCCTGAAGGTGACTGACACTTCCCAGACGTGACTGACACGTCCTAGACGTTGCTGACACATCATGAACGTAGCTGATATTCCCTAACCTGGCTGACACGTCTAGACGTGAGTACTTAACGTTGACCCTCTCAACTCTAATCCACCTGGACATAATTTTGTACTTATAAATGAACTCTGTGAACATTGCTTAAATCCAACATGGAAAATATTTTTAATAATTTCAATGATTTCTATGAGAGATATGAGGCTAAGTTATAACTGTTATCTGTAGCTGCGAACCTTCTCCAGTCTCAAGACTATTATTTACAAGACTACAACTTCACTAGTAAGAACATTCACCTTATTAACGAGGAGAAACCCTGACGTTATTAATAAAGGCATCATATATTAAAATTACTTACTTTACCCGTAAAAACATTGAGGTACAGACAGTCCTCCTGGCCGATCAGTTGAGTGTCACCTGATGTTATATTATGAAATGGGATCTGGAGGCATGGCGGAGGCTCCCTGCTTCCCACTCTCACCCCCTTCCACGGATCACCCTCTACTGGATCCTAAAAAATAATATATATATATATATATATATACATATATATATATATATATATATATATATATATATATATATATATATATATATATATATATATATATATATATATATATATATATTGAAGTTAACTTTTTTAGGTAGGCTAATGACTGCATTTGTGTCTGTTTTTCCATCGCACAGGTATTTTATGCCATTTGCTTTCAAGCTACTAGATCAGTACTGGCAGGTCTCGGGCACTAAAGAATCTCCTCATCTTTGTGCCAGGAACATGTGTTGACTGGCAATGTTTGGATCGTCTGCACTACATGGTAAGCAAGTGAATACAGTGCCAGGCCAAAAAAAAAATCTCTGAGCAAACAATGAACTAGGCAAAATATGAATCGTCCTCAATGATCACAGCAACACATTAATGGAAATCAGTAATGATGAAAATATGACATTAAAATCCCCTGAGGTGGAGACTTTGTGGTACTGACCTTAAAACGAAGTTTTCCCAGCGGAGGTTTGGCGTAGGGAATGCTGTAGTAGGAGTAGAAGTTCCTGCCCTTGGTGGATGTCTCCTGCACCCCGGTCACCCATCCAAGTTGTGTCCACACCAGCGAGTCTCCAGAACCATCAGTAGAGGAAGAAGAGGAGGGTGGAGAGGTAGAGGAGAGAGAGGAAGGAGCAGCAGTGGAAGGTAGATAGGGCGGAGGAGAGAAGGAAAGGGAAGAGTGAACAAAAGTGGACGAGCGAGAGGAACTGGGTGTAGTGTCCCCTTCACCGTCTTCTGCAGTGTTGGCAGCTACCACCATCATCACCATCACTACACACCTTAACATCCTGCTGCGGAAAGTTTACCTTGATAACTTAGTGTACAACTGATGGCCATCCTCACTACAGTTTTATTAGTTTATTCGACAACCTTACTGACTATCCTAGTGGTGTAAATCGAGATTATATAATAGAGTACAATCTTTCCATGACATAGATTTGAAAACTAATGAGACTGCCTTCCTCCTTCTGGTGATGGTGACATAGCAGGCTAGATAATGTGTCCGGTTATGGAAATAACCCATTATCTGCGACCTGCATGAACTGTATCACTGTAGGCAACAAGAGCATTTCACCCCTCCATGGAAGATGTGTTCATTTAATATCACATACCTACAAGTCCCTCCCAAGAAGCTCATTGCTAGTAATCCCTTCCTTAAATCTCTTGTTAGAGCAACTGCTCAAGAAGAAATTTTTCGCCTAGCTGGTAGTAATAAGTTATCACAAGTTATATACACTGATGGATCTAAACAGGAGTCTTCTGGCAGGGCTGCATCTGCTCTTGTTGCCACCTCCCTAGTTAAGAACGATAATAAATTTGTTGAGTTAGGCATAAGAATTAACAACTGGGCGTCTACACTGCAAACTGAATTGTTTGCAATCCTAATGGCGCTAAAGCTAACCTATGACACTGAGCTTGACTCTATCATCATTACTGATTCTATGTCATCATTGAAGGCTCTTGGCTCATATAATGACTCCAACAACATGCTCATTGGGGAAGCCAGGTATAGATACTCAAAAATTAGGGACAAAGGAATTAATGTACAATTGCTATGGATCCCATCACACATTGGATTACTCCTTCATGATAAAGTTGATATGTTAGCCAAGAAGAGTATCCAGAAGGAGAACGTAGAATATAACTTTGGTATAACTGTGTCTAGCATTAGGAATAATATTAGGAGAGAAGTAAATAATGAAGATGATTGTTATAGGAATGCAGTTAGAAGCCTGATTAGATCTATAACACACTATGATAACATGAACGTAGATAAGTATGTTTATGGAGCAACTTGCAATGTGAACAGACTGACTGATGTTGTAGTGGCCAGGCTTAGGCTTGGTTACAAGTACTTCTGGCAGTTTGGGAGACACACAGATGATGATCAAACTAAATGTAAATTATGTGATCAGGCATATGGTCACTCTCTTGAACACTATGTGCTTAATTGTCCACTTATTGAGGAATACAGAGACAGACAGTATAATAACCTATGTGACATGTCAAGATATCTTATTAATGAAAATAAGATACCAGATATACTAAGCAAATTTCCTAAATTTGCTTGTAACAGATAAGTGAACTATAGATATGTAGATATAAATCCATATGTATTCCTGTTAACCCTTTGGGGCCTAGTTCCTAGGCCTTTTGTGTATCCACATGCTCTCGCGCTACCGTCCACAGGATGGATATGGGGTGCACAATAAACTAGCCACTTCGGTGGCAAAATCTAATCTGCTGGTGGAAACGATGTTGAGAAATAAAGGAGATGGGAATTATTAACCAAGCACAGGACATAAATAAATGTTAGGTCAAAAGGTGGAATCTCAACCATATGTAGCATTTTGTCTAAAAGCAAAGCGGCCAATGAATGGATGTCTCACGAAATCTTAACACGATTGCAGACAAACCACGGAACGGATGGGGCTTGAACTCGCAGCAAATGAGTCGTAAAACTCCAGGCCAGCGCGTAAGCCCCTGGGCCAGTAGCTCTGGCCTGCAGTTTTACGACTCATTTGCTCAGAGTTCAAGTCCCACCCGTACCGTGGAATGAACTGATGTCTAGGGCAATTCGTGTAAATTGCTGGCTAGACAGGTACTGCAAGGAACTTGCAATCCCATTTATTGACAAGTGGAACAAATTCTATGGCAAACATAATATGTATGCAAGGGATGTGGTACATCTCTTTGGTGCAGGGGTTACAGTCTCGGCCAGGGGACCCTTGCTGAGTTGTATAAGACAGAAATGATCAAAGATAGAGGTAGGGGTGTGTGCAGGAAACAAAAGAGCTGAGACAAAAGGAACAAAAATGACCAAGGCATCTTAGGGTGGTGTTCAGAAAACATGATAATTCACAACTTCGGTGTTCCGTAGCTCGGTTGGTAGCGCACTCAGCTCATACATTGAGGTCCGTGGTCGATCCCCAGTACGGGTGAAAACATTAGGGCGTGTTTTTTCAAGACACCTGCTGTCCCTGTTCAACTAGCAATAAGTAGGTACCTGGGTGTTACCAGACTGGTGTGGGTCGCATCCTGGAGACAAAATTAACCTAATTTGCCCGAAATGCTCTGCATAACAAGGGGCCTTCCATATAGTATGTCACTGATTTCAGCTATAGCCTGTATAAATTGTGCATGGGTATTCGCCATAACAGCGAACTCAAAGTTAAGAAACATTTCAAGCAGAGAGATAAGGATGTGATAAGTGCCTCATATCTGATGCGGCCAAAAAGGGCATCTTATGGCCCAAAAATAAATAAACTAAAAAAAATGATCACAAATAAATATGTCTTAGAATTGCATATACTGTCACAATATTGGTTGCAATTGTTGCATCTGCTCAAATATGAGGCACGGCCTGGTAAAGGGATAACCCTTTACCAGGTCTGGAGATGGGTAATTACTCTTTTCCACTCTTGGTAAAGGGGTAATTACTCTTTTCCACACTTGGTAAAGGGGTAATTACCCTTTACCAGGCCTGGTAAAGGGTTAATAACAATGGGTATTTTATTCTGTAATACTCTTATGTACCACAACCAACACTAGTTACTCAGTGCTGCTATGGAATATGTATATCGAGAACACAGCAACAAATCATGTAAAACCAGTTAAAACGCAATAAAACTTTGCCATTAGAATAACCACTCTATTCAAAACATTGCACCTACTCAACAACATACAATGTATCCGCACAAACACTGTTGTGCAAACTGTAAATATAGAACACGCAACACAAATACCAGCCCTGAGCTTAAAAAAAATGCCTGGAAGGCTGCAACACAACACGTAAGATATAACACAAGATTAGATATAATGTTTGTCAGGAAACAGCACAAGTGTTTCCAGACGCGGGTCTTAAGTCATATGATGACCCACAGCTGGAGCTTTGGGTCATCTGACCGAGGACTTTCACTGGCTTACCGGTCCACCTTTTTTAAAAATCATGGTTGTGATTATAACCATTAGACCTCTGTTATAGCACAAGAAATAAATACTTCTTGATATTCTTCGTTGACGACTCAACCTGAGTACACCCTCCATGCAAAGGGCCAAAAATTCGAAAAGCCTACCTGAGGAAGCTAAAATCTATATTTTCTAATAGCTTCCGAAACATTACACATATATATATATATATATATATATATATATTATATATTATATATATATATATATATATATTTATATATATATATATATATATATATATATAAGTGTGTGTGTGTGTGTGGAAAATTACATTTATCTGAATGTATCTTTATGTACATAACAGTAAATAAACAAAGATAATTATTATTTATCAGTTAGACAAGTAGGAATTTGGGACACCTAGGTCGCAAAAAATGTCCCCCTTCGATACCTACCACTGTCATATCCACAAGTTGCTCTGGACCTATTAATTATAAATGAAATATACATCACCAGGAATTCTGGTAAATATATAAATATGTGGACAGTATATTAAAAATAATAAATGATTATATATAAATACATTTACATAAAAGAAGGAAAATATCTTAATATCACTCACCAATTTGACTGGAGATTAATGTGTCATGTACAGGACCCCACCTTTTGCCTACATTTATGAAAAATTTACTGGCCAGAATTTAAACATAAATTAGACAGCTTATCTGAGGTTCCTGGAGTTGTCCTGTCCTGTCGCCTGATACTCAAGTTATGCAGGAATGCACATCCAACAATTTCGCCTCCTATTTGAGAGGTGTCAACCCAATTTTAACCTCAAGAGCACGAAAAATTCTTCCCATTATACACCACCGTTAGTGTCAAATTCAAACAATAATGGCGACTGTCCTGTGCAGGCACAGGCTCAGTTTCCCATTTTCTATGACATAAATATTATTAAATACAATATGGCCATCTATTTACATACAAATACTGTATTTCTGGAAAATATATGCGCAGGATATATGCAGGATGTATGCTCTCAAAGAGGGGGTAGATTACAATCTTGGGTTGTCAGTTAGCAGTTTGAGAACAATAATACGAAAAGAACTTCAAATGAACTTTATTGACTTAAGACTTAGGGAGACTGACACAAGTCAGTCCATCTATCATCATTCCATCATGCAGGAGGAGCCACATGTCTATGGTGCATCCAACAAGATAAGCAGACTCTTGGATGTCACTACTGCCCGGCTCCGGCTGGGTTACAAGTATCTTTGGCAGGTTAAATCACCACCACCAGATGTAGACCAAACGAAATGTAAACTTTGCCAGATGGACTATTGTCACACCTTGCGTCATTATGTACTGGAGTGTGATCAAATTAATGAATTTAGAAACAACTCACTCTGAAATGTTCAAGAAATGGCAAAGTATTTTATCCACAGTGGTATATTGCAGACCATTCTGGAGAAATACCCTGACTTTGCTAGCTGTAAATAAAGCATTACCACATGTTTACCTGGAGTTTACCTGGAGAGAGTTCCGGGGGTCAACGCCCCCGCGGCCCGGTCTGTGACCAGGCCTCCTGGTGGATCAGAGCCTGATCAACCAGGCTGTTGCTGCTGGCTGCACGCAAACCAACGTACGAGCCACAGCCCGGCTGATCCGGAACTGACTTTAGGTGCTTGTCCAGTGCCAGCTTGAAGACTGCCAGGGGTCTGTTGGTAATCCCCCTTATGTGTGCTGGGAGGCAGTTGAACAGTCTCGGGCCCCTGACACTTATTGTATGGTCTCTTAACGTGCTAGTGACACCCCTGCTTTTCACTGGGGGGATGGTGCATCGTCTGCCAAGTCTTTTGCTTTCGTAGTGAGTGATTCT